AAAAAATACACAATCAAAAACAACTGATAACTTAAGACAACAATAATTAACATCAAGATCAAGATTCCACACTTGAGACTATACTACACTTCAAATTCATTCAGAAACAACGGCGAACACAACCACAGAAGTTAAAAATATCAAAACACGCCCGCCCCCCTAACCTAATATTAAAGGTGACCAGGTTAGAGCTACAGCATGGCTTGTCATTTCTTCTAGTGTCTGATAGATTCGTCGTTAAATTGGAAAAAAATGAAACAGAATGGAATCCCAGAGATGGGTATCATGCGTACAAACCGTTTATCGGCGTGTCCTTTGAGAAACCGAAAAACAACATTCCAAACATGACACACGAGAGAACTTTCCAAACACTATGTTGAGGGAGATTCCAAAGCCGTACGTGTCAGCTGATTAGATAAATAAGACAGTAACGGTTATTCCCAGCAGTACTGAACTTACTGCTGTAGCTGATGTTACTACACCAGCACCGACTACGACCACAGAAAAAAACGAGAAACCAAAACTAAATCTCAATCTGTTGTAGATACTGGAGCAGTTTACCAGTTAATGCAAACACTCATATACCCACAGAGACGAGGAAAGTGATTCAGATCTGTGTCTACAAACACACATCGTACGATGATTAAACACTTCCAAGTAAGTACAAATATAACAAGCAACGATTAGACCGCATCGGATGCACACAACAATGCACTGCCTACCTGCGGCCGCGGAAATTTTTTTTCCCAAACGGTATAACATAGCGAAGAAATTTAGGGCGCCTTCTGATTTGGCTGCTTCGATTTGCTTTTGCCTTTGACATAGGATGAGCAAAGCAAGGCCCATTTGTAAATGTTTGTTTGGGTTTAGGACCGCTAGATAAGTACGGTCTTTTCTGATGTTTTTCAATGAAAAACATATCTTTCCTATTAATGTAACATATAATATCACTATAATTGCAATTGCTTCTTCTGCAAATGTGTTATTTTTCATCTCAATGCTTAAGTTATGAGAGGGTCTGGGCCTCGTAAATATAGACTACGTACGCATGTAGCACGCCACTCGTAGTTGCATTCGTCGCAGGATCGAGGAAAGGAGCGAAAAGGGCTACGACAGTACGTACTAAGGCTACGACGGTACTATAGTAACTAGGGCCTACAGAAGTACTTATGAGCTATACGTACTCGTACTTGCGTTTGACACGCTAGTATAGTAGTATACTATAGTATCGGTAGTAGTCGTAAGTAGTACCAGTGTTTAACCCTGAGGTCAGCATGAAAACGGATAACTAATCGACCACGGCACGAACATAACAGAAACTCGGCAGCTATAACTATAGGCCTAGACCCTCTCATAACTTAAGCATTAAGATGAAAGATAAACACATTTGCACAAAGAATGCAATTATAGTAATATTATGTTATAATAATGCAAGTAAAATATGTGTCTTCATTGCCTAATTCTAACCTCACCCATAACGCTAACCCTCAACCCTAGCCTAACATAACCCTAACCATAAACCTAACTATTATATTGAATATATATTATCATTTATATTGAGTGTATACATTGGTTTAATTGACCCCCATCGTTCTCCTATCCTTGGACAACCCATTTACATAAACCGGCGTTTGTTCTCTGTCTTGAAGGTTTCTTCAGTCAACAGAAATCATGTCAAGCAAACGGACATGATATTTGGGGTAATTCATTTCAATACGCCATGTTGTTTTAAAAGAAACATACTTAAAAAACTAACTTTAACCATAAACTTACAGAAAGGTTCGGGAAAGTTGTTTTGGTATGATAATTGGGGAATTTGGCTACAAGTCATCGGAGGCTCGCATCTTGGCAAATTCCGCAGCCAAATCAGAAGGCGCTAATAAATCCTCCCTATGTTAACATACGTTTGGGAAATAAAAATTTCGCGCAGCCCGGCCCTAGACATACAGAAAGTGCATAGTATGCCCAACAAGTCCACTGCATTATGACAAGTAGCATTGCAGATCAACACAATATCAGACCTTTCTAACATAGAGTGGAGACAGGTTATACTATATATATATATATATATATATATATATATATATATATACAATGCCCACAATGAGAAAAAATGACAACATCTTCAAATTTAATACTTATGGTAAAATCATAGATATGGATTTTATGCATATCATGTCAGGAGGTATATCAAAATAAAGGAAGTGAGTGTGACATCATAAACAAGGGAAATCGCATTTACAACCCTTATAAATACCTACGATTACTAGCGCGTAACATCATCCAACTTGAGCTCAAAATCGGACACAGTAGCATTCGCCCATCGATCGTACCAAATCGTTTCCCTTCCGTAGACACCCGCAAAGATCCGAAGATACAGCCTTAAAACCTACGAACGATTCTCCATTCTTTGGCCAATAATGCACAGCGCACTAGCGCGCCTATAATTCAAACAAACAGGCAGCTACTAACCAACTGTCCACGGCTTCGCCACGGCGAGGCGCTGTGGCTCGGCAGGAGAATAATCCCGATCTGCGCTGATGCGATGGCTGCGTGCGTGGTATGGGGGCAATGCCAGCTGGTGTATGACATAAGGCATACTTAGAGCTGTGTACGCCGGGTCAAAGTTCATCTCGCCGGAGTGTTGCGTTGATAGCCTAATCAGCCCACTCCGCGAGCACACAGATGCCTCGCCGCCGTGAGCGCAAGCCGTGGACAGTGTGGTTAGTAGCTGCCTTTTGTTTGAATTATAGGCGCGCTATGCGGTGGATTATTGGCCAAAGAATGGAGAATCGTGTCGTAGGTTTTAGGCTGTATCTTCGGATTGCGGGTGTCTACAAGGAAACGATTTGGTACGATGATGGGCGAATGTACTGTGTCCGATTTGAGCCCAAGTTGGATGAGTTACGCGTAGTAAATCGTAGGTATTATAAGGCTAGTAAATGACGAATTTCCCTTGTTTATTGATGTCACACTCCTCCCTATTATACACTCCTGATATATGTGTAACACAAATGCATTAAAATCACACAGTAGGCGCGTTCACACACAAGAAAAACCGCGCTGCTCAGCCCGCTAATAGCGGAGATAATAGTGAGCTAATTGTGTCGTTGTTCACACAGGCGAATATCTCGCTAATCGCCGCGGTGCAAATATCACGCCGCGGTGCAAATAAGCGCGCTGATTCCAAATTAGTGCAGTCGGAAGTGTTCTTTGCAGCGCGCTATTTTGAGCGCGATTTAGTGAGCTAATTGCGTTCACACTTGTAAAAAGCTCAGTGCTTTTAGCTCGGGTTTTGCAGCCCGCTAATTCGCGCCAGTGTGAACGCACCTTATATATTAATACAAAAGGGTTTGTCAATTTCTAGACTTGATGTGCCCATATGAAAGTGTGTATACTATTTCACAGCAATTTTCTCTTTTTCACATCTTATGCTCATTCACGGACATTGGTGAATGCCATGTACCACAATAAACCAGATGAGACGGGATACCAGGGAAGTGTTGCCGAAAGCAGGTGTCGATCGTAACCGCTGAGCACGGATCTTGCGCGCAGTCTATAAATAGCGCCTGTCTATTATACGCTATAAGACCTGCAAGGCACATGGTTCCCTGTAGTCAATGCTGATGGACCAACTATCTTGAGTCTCCCTACATGCCGGGATATGAAGCTAGTTACAATGAACTACAGCATTACTACGCAACAAGACACGACAGCTACACAGGTGCCTACGGGTGATCCTGCTGCTAAAGCTGAACTACTGCGTCAACACAAGGATTGTTTCGAAGGCATCGGGTGTTTCAAAGGCGAATTTCACGTTACCTTCGACCCCACAGTGCCACCAGTGATACATCCACCACGCCGAGTTCCAGAGGCATTACGTGAGCCGCTGAAGAGAGAACTGAACTCCCTCGCAGCTCAGGGAATCATAGCAAAAGTGGATGAGCCCACAGACTGGCTCAACTCCCTAGTATGTGTCACTAAGAGTAACGGTGCGCTTCGACTGTGTTTAGACCCAAAAGATCTGAACTCAATCAACCCATCAAGCGGCCTCACCACTGTACACCAACGATAGATGAAGTTCTTCCCAAGCTCAACGGAGCAAAGTACTTCTCTATAGTGGACGCTCGCAGTGGGTATTGGAATATTAAGTTAGACCATGAGAGCTCGCTGTACACAACATTCAATACACCACATGGCAGATTCCGTTTTTTGAGGTTACCTTTCGGATTGATCTGTGCGCAAGATATCTTCCAGAAGAAGGTAGACAAAACCTTCGGGGATTTACCAGGCGTTACTGGGATTGCCGACAATATCATCGTGTATGGTTACAGTAAAAGTGACCATGACAGCAAGCTACGAGTCGTCATGAAGTGCGCAGCTGAAACAGGTCTGTGTTTTAATGCTGATAAGTGCAAAATTCAATGCACAGAGATCACCTTTTTTGGCAATATCATCAGCGCCAATAGACTCCGGCCTGATCCTAAGAAGGTCAAAGCAATTAACAGCATGGACCCGTCAAAAAGCCTTGCAGACCTGCAGACATTCCTTGGCATGATGCAGTTCCTGAGCAGGTTCATACCAAACCTTGCAGAATGCGCAGCCAACCTATGGAATTTGACAAAGAAATCCAGTGAATTCCAGTGGTGCCCAGAGCATCAGTCTGCCGTAGACAGCATCAAAAGCACGATTTCATTGTCTAATTCACTACAGTATTTCGACAACACTAACCCGGTGACTATCCAGGTCGACGCCTCGCAACGCGGCCTTGGTGCAGCCCTGATTCAGGACAAGGGCCCAGTCGAGTACAGAAGCAAGCTCCTGTCTGATACAGAGACTCGATACTCCAACATCGAGAGAGATGCTAGCCATTGTACATGGTCTTGAGAAATTCCACTACTACGCGTACGGACGACACGTTGTTGTAGAGACAGATCACAAGCCGCTGGAGGCAATACTCAAGAAACACCTCTCCAGCGCCCCCACCTCGTATCTCCAGGATGATGCTCCGAGTACAGAAGTACGACGTGGAAATTAAGTATGTCCCTGGGAAGGATATTCCACTAGCCGACGCCTTATCGAGAATAAGCCCATGCCCAGGTGACACGGTACAAGGGCTAGATGTTTCTGTTCACGAGCTGCACCTACACTTGAATGCTAGCCCCACACGGATTGAGCAGATCAAAGACGCAACAAGCAAGGATGACGTGTTGCACTCTCTCAGATCCCTCATCACACAGGGATGGCCTAGTAAGAGATCAGAGTGTCCTACACACCTGCATGCGTATTGGAACTATCGGGACGAGCTGACTGTTGCAGACGGAATAGTTCTGAAAGGCACACGCATCGTCATTCCTGCAGCATTACTTGTGCTGTGCTAGAACAACTGCACTACGCACACCAAGGTGCTGAGAAATGCAAACTTCGTGCCAAAGGATCCGTATTTTGGGCCAATATCAGCAAGGACATAGAGGAAATGGTCAAGGACTGCCCTCCATGTCAGCACAACCAGAAAGCCAATATGAAGGAACCCCTCATGCCACATGATGTCCCACCGAGGCCATGGCACACACTGGGATCCGATTTGTTCTTCTGGAACAACAGCTCCTACTTGCTGGTCTCAGACTATTATAGCAAGTTCCCATTGGTCAGAAAGCTGAACAACATTCGTTCTGACACAACAATCGCTCACATGAAGTCGATCTTTGACGAGTATGGAATTCCGAGCAAGCTCGTTACAGGCAACGATACACAGTTTACCTCAGCTCTATTCCAGAAATTCAGTGAGACCTACGGATTTGACCATGTTACCACAAGTCCATACTACCCACAAGCAAATGGTTTCATAGAGAGGACTGTGCAAACTGTTAAAGCTCTGCTGCAGAAATGCAAAGAGTCGAACACAGACCCACATATAGCTATGCTGTGCCTAAGAAGCACATCATTACAGCATAACATTCCCTCGGCAGCAGAACTGCTCAACTCAAGAGTCTACCAGACCAATCTTCCAGCAACGCGAGCAGCATGCACACCGTGCCTAGTCGTGGTGACACTAACGCGAAGCTACAAGAGGCAGGAGAAACAGAAATTGCAGCATGACAAGCCTTCTAAGACACTATCTGTGCTCCACCCAGGTGATTCTGAACGTGTACTAGATCCCCACAGCCATCACTGGGAACCTGGAGTGGTGAAAACAAGTGAACATAATCGCTCCTATGTTGTGGCGACAAATGGAAGCAGATTCAAGCGGAATCGTCGCCAATTGCGCCCTACAGGAGAAAGCTTCAGCAGCGGCCAGGCAGATATCGCATCAGAGCATGCACCAGTGCTCCCATCGCCTGATCCTCTACCTGCTGAGAGTTTCAGCAGCGGCCAGGCAGATATCGCATCAGAGCATGCACCAGTGCTCCCATCGCCTGATCCTCTGCCTGCTGAGAGCATATCCCAGGAACGCACTTCACCTCCAGCTACCCCGATTCGTCGATCAGCCATAAAAGTGAAGCCACCTGAAAGATGAACATTTTCTGTAGAGCTATATCATTGTTTTTACACAGTACTGTATTTGTGAAAGTTGAGTTCAATTTTAACCTTCAGAAAGAAGGGGATGTCATAGTTATGTTATATGTCACGATAGATGGCAGCACTAGTTGGAAAGCGATGCACGTGTGGTTCTGCTGAGTAAACGTACTTATCACATACTCTACGAGTTCTTTATCTAATTGCGTATCCGTAGTACGAAACTACGACACTATATGGTATTAGTACTAGTAGTAGTAGCTCTAGTACTATAGTAGTAACTAGTAGTAGTAGTACTAGTAGTCTAGTAGTACTAGTACTTAGTAGTAGTAGTACTTACTAGTAATTATTGTAACATATACTTGTAGTAATAGAAGTATTCGTAGGTGTGGATACAATTGTATGACCCTGAGTGAAGACCTGTGTAAACACAATTTGTTGTGTAGTCGAGTATACAGTGTCTCGCCATGCTCTCTATCCTTGTACCAAACTGTCGACCAGATACGAGTCTAGGTTATAGCCGGCCGACGCGTCTGCAGGGAAAGTTGTAGGGAAATGCTATGCATATAGCCTCGTTGCGCCATCTATCGCACACCATATGTACTACACTGATGTACACTGATGTACAGTAATGTCAACAAAAAAGTTAAAAAGGTTTTTTTACAGGAAACAGCGCGCCGAGTAGCCAAAAATTGTTTTCGTAAAAGCTGCCAATCGTCTAGAACTAACTGCAACATCTGTGTCTCTTAACTGAAAGTAAAAAAATATTTCTAAATGCAAAACGATGCTGGCAATTTATATTCGAAGCTAAATATAATAACCAATAGGCACTCGAAAGAGAATTTATACCGTTTCAAACCCACGTGAGATCATTCTTACAGTGTCGTAGCTGCATCTTGATTTCCCACTAGATTCATTTGCACAGTCTCATTTTCCTCCCGGCCACTCGACTCCCGCCTTTTTTGTGCTTTGACCATGCCAAAGATCACTACCATGATGACAGCTGAGAAGATCGTTACAATTCCACCGAAGTAGAATGGTACCGCGTAGTTTTTGGTCTTTTCGCGTAGAATACCTGAAAATCCAACAAGCTACAGTGAGATGTGCAATCAGCACAACCTCAAGATGTATAGAACGGTGGCTGTACAATGAACAGTTAATGTGAAGAACAATTAATTTAAACATACTTTGTTATAATATATCTGTGTAACCAGATTGCAACCATCTGCTACATATTATTATACGTTCACAGCCTTCACACACATGCATGCCTGCATGCACGCACACACAGCTTTCTCCCCAGGTCTTTAACATATGCTGGGTCTTCAAAGCTGAAGCAAAATTCCATATCAACTGCCTGATCAACGGCTTTAATTTCCAGCTGTTTACTTTTTTAAATCCCACCACAATCATGCTGCTTTCACAACTTGAGGTATACACCATTGAACTGATCAAATTTATGCGTGTATTGGGGGCCGCTTACAACATACGTAATGAATACATATTACATGAATGAACAACTCTATTTAGCAAAATTGAGGACGAATTACCAGATTGACCCACATGCTTTCTGAAATTCCTGAGAAAAACCCTGATACATATATACATATATATATTCACTGTACACGAATGCTTGCAAAATCACACTGACTTACTCAACTCTCTATAGACATAGGCATTACCAAAAATACATCACTACTGCAAACGTACAGGTTGATCGGTTTTGACACTATATACATCTAAACAGATGTTACGTATTCATACCTACGTAATACCTTAGAGACTTTCTATCACACTACGTGATAAAACATTCTCTGTTATACTTATATATACAATCAGAGAACATATACATGCAAGAGGACTAGTTTTAGTAGTACATACATGCAAGCTGACAATTTTACATACATGCAAACAATCATCACAAACTTGCAAATAGAAAACGAACAATTGAACATGCACATTTCTAACACACATCACCAGGCTCCTCACAAGAGTCATGTACCTGCAATAGGAGGTCCAATGAGGTTACCGACGCCCTGGGATGCCATCTGGTAACCAAAGCTGTGGTTAAAAACATCTATCCCAAAGAGATCAATAACAACATTCGCCAGGCATCCCAACTGAACCCCAAGTGCAAGAGATGAAACGATTCCATAAACAACAAAAGCGCTAAAAGATTCTCCAGTATTAAACAGCATCACAACTGTACCAGTAATTGCAATGGTAATTGTGTACAGCCACAAGTTTGCATACGGCCACTTTCGACAAAACACCGTCAGCCCAGCAAAGGGATGTCCTACCATGTTTGCTATTCCCATTATAGTCAAAAGATAAATGCCCTTTCTCAGTTCGATGCCGCGCTCCACCAAGAAATCTGCTACGATAAACGATACTATGACAACACCGATGTTCCAGCAGACCATGCTGAGAGCAAACAGCATCATTTTGAGATCTTTGAACATCGTCAAATTAAGTACATCTGCATTCTCTTCTTTAGCTTTCAAAGGCTTCATTATAACTCCACACAGTACAATGTTTAGAGAAATAGCACCATTTATAAGCATAGAACCCTGCCACTGGTACTCCTCAATCAGATTGTTAAAAATCATAGGAAATAGAACAAATCCCAGGCCCTCTCCAGTGCAAGCCGCCGCTGTTGCCAGGTAGAGCCACTTCTTGTAATACCTCCCGACCATGACAACACATGGAGTGTAGGACAAGCCAAACCCAAGGCCTAGAAGTAAATTAACGAAAATGTCAACTCACTGACATGCAAGTGCCACTGACTAATACTAGACATATTACCACGTATGAATTCTTTTGATCTGCTCATTTTATATTCAGGATAGTCTAATTTTACAACACATTAGATGACATGAAAAAAGTACAACATCGTTTCTAGAGAACTATACTACGTACAATTATGATTAATCCTGGCGGCCGTACTTTGTAATAATAATGCATCAGTATTGCACGTTCTCAGCAACCCTTTACAATTTTCAGATGAAGTGTAAGATAATGAGTGCAAAAATCGCACCTGTGACTATTCCATAGCTGATTCCAAGGTGATAGGGTTTTGTTGCAAAGTAGCTGCTTATATAGCCTGCAGCAGAGAGAAGACCTCCCAAGATTATTGTAAATCTGCATCCATATCTGTTCAGCATTACACTTGCTAGAGGACCTACAGGCAATCGAAAAATCCAACAATGACATATGCGAACACACACCTAACGTTCTCATGCTAAACACGCCACTTTAATAAACAAGAGCCGCAGAGCGTATGGGCTCATCTGAGGTCTGTTGCTACGGTTATAAACGTAACATTTAAGTCGTGCGTAGTGACACCTTTGTTAGGCGCAGATATGCAGATACGCAGTTGCGTACACATCATTTCAGCAACCTTCTGCATTCTGCATACCTCCCAAATCCCATTGGTTGATACAAATCGCGTGCATGAAACTCCTGTTTTATGGTGCATTGTGACCCTAACCCTAACCCTAACCCTGTTAAACAAAAATTTAATTGTTGTAAAAATTATGTTGTTATGAAATTGTTGTAAATAAATCATGTAAATATTTGCGTTAATTGGAAAAAAATAGTTAAATGGATAAAGATTAAAATTTTTATTGCTCTTGTATCGTTATTGAAAATACAGAAAACAGGTAAATAATAAGAAATCTGATGGGATTCCATCCAAGGACCTTTAAGCCGTAATCCTGTGCTGTAGCTGTTGGGCTATCCAGGCTTATTGGCTTTCCAGATTATGGATGTGCCATGAATATGAGAACACTGACATCATTGAGGCAGTTCAGGAATCCATGTTTAACCCTCCTCTTGAGGGTCAAAATGTTATCAGACACTTACTCTTCGCACGTCAGTGGAAAGCACATTTCATGGTCCTTTCAGTAAAGTGATAAAAATGGTAGGTGAGCGCTGAAACAAAAATGTTTTTCACTCTGTCCATTAGGCCACGTCCTCAGAAAATGTCTGATATCTGACCTTTCCCCCACTGCCCTTTGACCTGTGACCTCCAATTTCGCACTGGTGATGGGTTTCCTGCCCATCACACTATACACCGAATATTAAGAGCATAGGTCGAGCCGTTCAGATTTGTGCCGCAATTCCGTATTACCTTAAGTTAAGGGGGAAATATTGCCCCTCCGTTGACACATCTTGACCTTTGACCCTTGATCCCCAAATTGATCATCCTTTTCA